GGATACGTGAGCTGGAAGGAGAGGTGATGCTGTTCGGAATGTCTCGGAGCCGGGACAGAAGTGCCTGATAGCAAGGCCCAGGAAATGGCTCCTAAACCTGTGTGCATTGGAAGGACCTGGAGGGCTTAGGAAAACAGTTGGCTGGGCCCAACTGATTCGGTAGGCGAGGCTGAGGCCTGGGCATTTGCATGTCTAACAAGCTCCCAGATGCTGCAGCTGCGGGCGGACCTCAGCGATGGGAGGCCCGCATGGGAAGGAAGGAGAGCTTCTTGGAACTAAGGAGATGAGGACCTTTGAGGCCAGCGTGTGGGATGGTCAGCTCTCCACCTCAGGCTGTCCCTGAGCGATGCTTTGAGACACACGTGAAGTCACTAGTGAATAATGGCAACAAGGATGAGTACATGGAGGGGTACATGGCTTCGAAGGGACTGGCATTTTGAGGGGAAAAAGAGAAAGGGTGGAAGCAATGCTTAAGAGGAAGGAGGAGACTGGCCTTATTCTCCAGACCCTGAGGGGTGGGGGCTGCGGGAGGGAAACCCACCAGCACTTGGCAGGATGACAGGAAGTGCAGTTCCTACTTCAGGAATGGGGAGGAAGGTAGAACAACGGAGAGGTTAGGGACGCATGGAGGCAGGGAGCCATGAGCACCCAATGGGAGGCAGGCGGTGCTGCCCCGAAGACGGGCCGTCACTGGAATGACTCCCCCTAAAATCTAGAAAAATCAGTGCTGCAGGTTTTCTGATTTCTTGGAGGTATCATTTTTATATTGCATTAAAACAAGCATGAATATATAATTGACTCAAAAACAAATTTGCATACACCTTTAGTATAAAAGTAAGAGACTTCAGAGATATCTTAAGCCGCGCTCCCAGATCCTCCTCACGCGGAGAGAAAATAGCAAAGCCTCCAGGTCTTGGGTGAAGGGTGTTGGAGGGAAACATTTGTACTTTAAACTGGAAAGTGGGGAACTTCCAAGACTCAAGGGGGCGATCTGTATTCTGCCGGGGACTGAGTTAGCTTTGGGCTCAGCTGCTCACCTAGAGCCCTTCAAGTTGTAGGTGCTGCTGCTTCTCACTAGGCAGCATGGAGGGGCTGAGCCCAGGAGCCATGTCTCCCAGATGGGCCTCTCTGGGGCAGTGTGGTGCCCAACCAAAGGGACAGGGAGCGTGTGGGCCATGGAGGGTCTCAGCCTGTCTTCCCAACTGGTCTTCGCTCTCCCCTCCCCTCAGGTTCCTCCCCTTCTCGCTCTTCAGAATCTTCTGGGTGGCTTAGCTGAGTGGTTGACAATACGAAGAGGAGGGGTGCGGCTGGGGGAGCTTAGCAGGCTGGAGGGAATCTTCTAATGATCTTAGGACGCTTAGCTGGCCTGGTTCTGTCCACCTTGTCACCTGCGCCCTATACCGCCCATGAAGTTCAGTTGCCCGGGAGATGGTGAAGAGGCTGGCTAAGCTAAGGAAAGGGAGGGAGAGGGCCCTAACCTACGAATCAACCAGCAGCAGCCGGGAGGAGACAGACCCTTGCTCCCTGCCGTTCCGGGGCCAGGATGGGGCAGCAGTTCAGCTGGGAGGAGGCGGAGGCAGCCGGCGAGATGGACGTGGCGGAGCTCCAGGAGTGGTACAAGAAGTTCGTGGTGGAGTGCCCCAGCGGCACGCTCTTCATGCACGAGTTCAAGCGCTTCTTCAAGGTCACAGGCAATGAGGAGGCCACCCAGTACGTAGAGGGCATGTTTCGAGCCTTCGACAAGAACGGGGTAAGGCACCCTGAAGGGGGGACTGGTGGCCCGTCCACTTGGCCCATTTCTCATCCTTGTGCTCAAGGAACAGCCTCGCGGGGGCTCCCAGTTCCCAGTCCTCCTGCTCTTCCTCTCTCCACTCCCCTCACCTTTTCTGCCTCACTCTTTCTCCGAAACTCTCCTGCTCCCTCTCCCATCATTCTGTGCCTTCCCGTCTTCTCTCCCCTCCTCTCCATCTGCACTTTCGTCTGACTGTCCCTGTCTCCACTCCTGGTGCTGAAGGTGGGCTGGGCAGCGGGCACACTGTCCAGTCCTCTCTCTGTTTACAGCCAGGGCTTCGCAGCCTGAGGACCTAGTTTCCACCCCAACCCGAGCCCCTGTCACTCTAAAGATAAGGAGCAAGAGAGCTGCCCAAATGGGACGAGCGTGTTGGCACAGACCCAGAGCTCCTCCTCTGCTTCTGAGTCAGCAGCAAGCCGGTGAGGGCGTGAGCGGGTTTGTTACTTCAGATTAAATGATGAGAAAATGGGGGCAAAAGGAAGTGAATTCACCTGCCCACAATCATCTTACTCAGGGGTCCAGACTCCCAGACAAGTGTGCCTGCCTGGGAGGCAGTTTGTGTTTTATAAAGAGAGAAAATTATTTTTTAAAAAGCAGGTCCTATGTCACAAAACTTACTATCCTAAATGTGTCGCTCTTCCTTGTTCGTCTAAAAATTCAATATAACAATTCAGGAGCCAAAAGAGATTATTTAGCCATGGGCGTAATATAGCTGGGCCCCTTATGCCCCATCTGGTCTTACAAATTAGCATATACATTCATCAATTTCTTTTTCCTTTCTTTATAACTTTTATTTTGATAGGATTTCAAATTTAAGAGCAAGTTGGAGACATTACGCCCTTTATCCCTAAGTATTTCTGTGTTTCTTCTAAAAATGAGGTCATTCTTTTAAATAAGCTAATACAATTATTAAAATCAGGAAATTTTGCACTGATATAATTCTATTATCTAATTAACAATCCATATTCAAGTTTGGTCAATTTGTGCCGATAATGTCCTTCTATGCTTTTTTCCCTTTGGTGGTAGGGGGGTGATCACTCATTGCATTTACTTGTCCTGTCTCCTTACCCTTTAATTTGGAGCCTTTAATTTCAGCTTTTCTCTGTCTTGTTTGACCCTGACATTTTAGATTCAGGTTGTGCACTTCTAGCAGAAGCGCTGCAGAAGTGGCCTTTGTCCTCAGTGCCCGATGTCAGGGGGCAGGTGACGTTGGTCTGTCCCTTCCCTGGGGTTGCTGACTTCTCCATTTAGTTATGTGGTGCCTGCTGGGTTTCTCCAAGTTACTATTTTCCCTTTGTAATCAGTAAGCATCTTATAGAGCAGTGATGGCGAACCTTTTGAGCTCGGCGTGTCAGCATTTTGAAAAACCCTAACTTAACTCTGGTGTCGTGTCACATATAGAAATTTTTTTATATTTGCAACCATAGCAAAACAAAGACTTATATTTTTGATATTTATTTTATATATTTAAATGCCATTTAACAAAGAAAAATCAACCAAAAAAATGAGTTCGCGTGTCATAGGTTCACCATCACTGTAAATATAGAGGGTGCTTAAGACAAAGCAAATACCCTGTTGCTCATCCAATTTTCACCGATGGGGTTGGGCATCCGCTGTTGGTTTTCTAACTCCACCATCCCTTCTCGATGGACATTCCGCTGCAAGGAAGAGCTTCCCTAGGAGGTGTGCTAAGTGCCTCTGTCAGGGACTGAGCCTTCTTTCTCTCCTCTTCCCGCTTAGTCTCCAAGCCCACACCCAGCTCCACTTCCCAGCTTGGCACAATCTTTATATCAGGGAGTCTCATTTCTGGGCAAATTGGTCTGAGATTTCTGGGGCAAATAAAATCAAAAGAGCTCATAGATCTAGCTCACACGTCAAACCCTGGGGTGACAGAAATGGGTGTGGTGGAGACCAGCAGGGATGAAGAAAAGGGTTGAAGCTCAAATGTCACTTGGGACCCTTATGTAACATGCACTGGGGTCAGGGCTGGTGCACAGGTGCAACCACTTCAGGGAGAAACGGGGCAGATAATCCCAGAGCCGATCACACACCTGTCACTTCTGCTCCTGCCGCTTGAGTAGACAGGTGTTTCCATCATCCTGGGCTTCTGGGGTAATTAAGGCTGACGAGGGGAGGGCAGTGCACAGGGATGAGATTAGTCCCAGCCGGAAGCTTCCCAGAAAGGGCCCTGGGGTTGCCGGTAGCCTCACCGGGAGACCATTTGTCTGAAAGGGGCTCCTCTAGAACATGCCTCTTGTGGGCAAGAGGTTGGGGGAGGAAGGACCTCTACCCTCAAGGTTCTTCTGGCCGGTCTAACCGTCAAATAGACAGGAGACAGATTAGCAAGAGAAAATAAGCAAATTTAATTCCTCCTCTGGGAACCCCACATACAGGGGAGCCAGAGACCCCGCATGCATGGGCACCGGAGGTTCAGAGACAAAGGGAATGCGGGAACAAGACATCCTGAGCTGGGGATGAGCTAAGGTGCCTTGGGGGCTCACAGGGTCATTGCAGGGTAAGAAGAGCAGATGTTCAGGAAATCGCAATTCGTCCGGCGGTACAGATAGCTCAGAAGAGGTTATCACTGGTAATCAATTATGGACAAGGCCCCAAATTCCAGTTCTTCTAGGTAGTCAAGGGAGGGGCAGACATTTCTGTAGGGCCCACATGCAATGGATACTACTCAGCAATAAAAAGTTGCCTTCAGCCCTAGCCGGGTTGGGTCAGTGGATAGAGCATCAGCCTGCAGACCAAAGAGTCCCAGGTTCAATTCCAGTCAAGGGCATATACTTTGGTTGCAGTCTTCTCCCTGCCTGGGCCCTGGCTGGGGCTCGTGCAGGAGGCAACCAATCAATGTGTTTCTCTCACATCGATGTTTCTCTCTGTCCTTCCCGCTCTCTTCCACTCTCTCTAAAAATCAATGGAAAAATATCCTTGGGTGGGGATTAAAAAAATAATAAATGACATAAAAATAACTGGAATTATAAGGAAAAAAAAAGTTGCCTTCAGCCCAGCTGGTGCAGGTCAGTAGTTGAGCATCCACCTATGAACCAGGAGGTCACGGTTTGATTCCGTTCAGGGCACATGCCTGGGTTGTGGGCTTGATGCCCAGTGTGGGGCGTGTAGGAAGCAGCCAATCAATGATTCTCTCTCATCATTGATGTTTCTATCTCTCTCTCCTTCTCCTATCTTCTCTGAAATCAATTTTAAAAAATGTATTTTTAAAAAAGCCAATCTTGAAGGATTGCATACCATATGATTCTAACTCTATACCATTCCCCAAGTGATACTGTTACAGTGATGGGGAACAGATCAGTGTTTGCCAGATGTCACGATTGGGCGAAGAACATGACTATTAACAGGTAACAAGTGAGTTTGTGTTGAGAATTACTCATATCTACGAATGTGATAAAAATTTCATAAAACTCTACACCTACAGCCCGGCTGGTGTGGCTCAAGTTGTTGAGCGGCAACCCACGAACCAGGAGGTCACAGTTCAATTCCTGGTCAGGACACATGCTAGGGTTTTAGGCTTGATCCACAGTAGGAGGCAGCCAATCAGTGATTCTCTCTCATCATTAATGTTTCTATCTCCTTCTCCCTTTCTCTCTCTGAAATCAATTTTAAAAAATACATATTTTAAAAAAATTTTTTTGGAAATTAAAAACCCAAAAAACAAAAAACTATACACCTACAGAAACAGTACACTAAAGACGAGTGGGGGGGGGGGGTGGGGACAAACAGCCACTGCTAAGGATCTACCCCAAAGAAGCCACCGGAGATGTTAGAGAAATACGAGTGTACAAAGATGCTCATCGTGTGGTGTAAAACATTAAACCCACGTTCAGAAAGAGGGGGTGTCCAGGGCACCTCAGAAAATGAAAGGTATGATTTTAAATAATTTTGAAGAATGGGACATCTATAATAATGAAAGGGTAATATGCTAATTAGATTGGACCTCCTTCCATATGACCAGGGGTCCTCAAACTACAGCCCGCGGGCCACATGCAAATACAAATATTGTATTTGTTCCCGTTTTGTTTTTTTACTTCAAAATAAGATATGTGCAGTGTGCATAGGAATTTGTTCATAGTTTTTTTTAAAACTATAGTCCAGCCCTCCAACGGTCTGAGGGACAGTGAACTGGCCCCCTGTTTAAAAAGTTTGAGGACCCCTGCTGACCTTCCGGATGAAACCGGGGTTGCGAGGGAAGCCCGGATCCCAGGTGCCTGCCGGTGGCTGGAGGGAAGCCCAGGTCCCGGGTGCCAGAGGAAAGCTGGTGCCAGTAGCAGGGGGAAGGAAGGCCTACTCTTGCATGAATTTCATGCATCAGGCCTCTAGTTTTAAAATAAAAATCCAGGAACTGAAACTATACCTACAGTCTGATCTCAATTATGTAGTACACAGTGGGGGGAGGGGGGACCAGAAGAACTATATAAAAGATACAGAATAAACACTTCAGGTGCTGAGATGGGCTCCTTTTGTTTTCTTCTTGGTTTATTCAGAGGCTTTTATGCTGTTTTCCCCATTTCCTGCCGTGTTCTCCTGTTGCTCACTTCTTGCTCACCCAGGCACCCCCATCTGGGGCTGGGACTCCGGGTGGCCTGACCCAATGAGACAGAGGTGCTCTGGGCCGGCAGCACCATTTCTGATTACACAGTCATGGGAATGAGACACTCCTGGGGAGCTGATGACTCAGGTGTTTGATTTGGAGAGTGTGGTCCCCGCCCTGAAATACGCCCCGTGAAGCTCAGCCTGAGACCCGGGCCCCACTGACCCGCTGCAGCCACCACCAGCAGCCTCTCCCCTCACACTCCTCCGGAGTCACAGCAGGTTCCCCAGCCTCTTGCTCACTGCTGTTGGAATCATCGTTGCCATCACATTTCTGCTGGGGGAAAGTTCGGTTTCCTGCTCAGGGTCACCTCGGAAGTGACCTGTGCCCTCCTCCTTCCGCTGGCCCCTTAGCACCTGAGCTCTATCTCCCGCTTCCTGGGTGGGGGTGGGGTGCAGGCCTATCCTTCAGTGTCAAGTCCACGTGGGCCTAGGTGAGCAGGGCTGCACGGCCAGTCCCCTTTCCCCCAGGCACCAAGTGAATGAAAGTGCAAAAGAAATTTTCAATGTGAGCACAGCTTTCTAATCTTTCAAAACTACCTTGGTCTCAAATTCAGCTTCAGTTGATCATTTATTCATTGATTCATAAATATATTTTTTAATATATTCTTATTGATTTCAGAGAGAAAGGGAGAGGGAGAGAGAGAAACATCAATGATGAGAGAAAATCAATTGGCTGCCTCCTGCACGCCCCCTACTGGGGACTGAGCCCACAACCTGGGCTTGTGCCCTTGGCCAGAATCAAACCTGGGACCCTTTAGTCTGCAGGCCGACGCTCCATCCACTGAGTCAAACCAGCTAGGGCAGTGGTTCTCAACCTTCCTAATGCCGCGACCCTTTAATACAGTTCCTCATGTTGTGGTGACCCCCAACCATAAAATTATTTTCGTTGCTACTTCATAACTATAATTTTGCTACTGTTATGAATCGTAATGTAAATATCTGATATGCAGGATGTATTTTCATTGTTACAAATTGAACATAATTAAAGCATAGTGATCAATCACAAAAACAATATGTAATTATATGTGTTTTCCGATGGTCTTAGGCGACCCCTGTGAAAGGGTCGTTCGACCCCCAAAGGGTCGTGACCCACAGGTTGAGAACCACTGAGCTAGGGCATCCTATCTAATAATATGGGAATATGCTAATTGATCCTCATGCTGTCATAAAGATGGCAGCACCCACAGCCAATAAGGAGGGAATATGCTAATTGACCACCCTGCCCTCAAAGATGGTGGTGCCCACAGCCAATAAGGAGGGAATATGCTAATTGACTGTCCCACCCTCAAAAGATGGCAGCGCCCACAGCCAATAAGGAGGGAATATGCTAATTGACCATCCTGCCCTCAAAGATGGCGGCACCCACAGCCACAAGATGGCAGCGCCCAGTCCCCTCAGCCCCACTGGGGTGGCAGGCATGTGGCAAGGCCAGGCCCGCCCTGGCCACTCCGCGCGCCTGCCTCCAGAGTCCCCCAGTCCCCTCAGCCCCCCAGCCACCCAGGGCCAGCCCGAGGCACAGGCAAGCCTTGAATGGTAGCTACCCAGCCGCCCAGGGCTGCCTGAGGCTCAGGTAACCAGGGCCGGCCAAGTCTTGCGCTGCCGGCAGTGGCAGCAGCAGAGATGTGATGGGGCATCACCTTCCCCTGATCGCCGGGTTGCCTCCTGCCCCTGAGGGCTCCCGGACTGTGAGAGGGGGCAGGCCGAGCTGAGGGACCCCCTTCCCCCCCAGTGCATGAATTTTCATGCACTGGCCTCTGGTTTGTAAATATTTTTGAGATCCTGACTCTGCAGAAATGGCAATGTGCTAGGCATGGAAGAGAAACAAAAGCAATGTAACCCCTCTCTTGTTTCCAGAGCACACATTAGCTAGGGAACGAGGCTTACTTAGGAAGCAATTGGTGCCAATGCCAGAGTAAGTCCCAAACTGCACAGAATAGGAGGCAGGTGCTGTGAATGTGAGAGGAGGGAGGGATCACTGGCTGAAGTGGTCTGAGAAGGAAGGCTTCCTAGAGGAGGGGACCTTTGAGCTGCGCCTTGAAGAACAGGTAGGACTGGGTGATCATGGAGAGGAAAGGATGCCAGCGTGGAGAACAGCATGAGCAAAGGTGCAGAGGCCAAATGTATTGCAAGGACGAGGCAAAGCCCTGAGCTTGTGGCAGTGGATGGTCCAGAGTAGGTGCCCACCTGTGCCCTGGAGGTGGGCAGTGGACCAGGCGGGCTCACAGCTCCCACTCCCAAAGCAGGACAACACCATCGACTTCCTGGAGTACGTGGCAGCCCTGAACCTGGTGCTGAGGGGCACCCTGGAGCACAAGCTGAAGTGGACCTTCAAGATCTATGACAAGGACCGCAACGGCTGCATCGACCGCCCGGAGCTGCTCGACATTGTAGAGGTCAGTGCCTGCCCCCTGGTGGTCAGTGTGCATCATAGTGACCGGTCGTTCCGCTGTTCGGTCGATTTGCATATTACCCTTTTATCATATAGGATTCTCTTTTCCTCTCTGAATCTCCATTTTCCTGCGTAAAGTAGTGTCGAGATCATCACAGTGCCATCCACATCCCTCATTAGAGGGCTTTTGTTTTTTTTAAGACTTGTGTTTTGTGCTTTTGGAGTTTTTTGGTGGTTTTTTCTTTTTTTAATCCTCATGCTTTTATTGATTTTAGAGAGAGGGGAACAGAGAGAGACAAGAGAGAGAGAAACGTTGATGTGAACGTGAAACATGGATGTGCTGCTTCCCGCACGTGCCCAGACTGGGTATCTAACCCACAACCTGGGCACGCGCCTGCCCTGTCAGTGCCCCGGAGGGAGGATGCTCCAGCCAGCTGAGCCACACCCGCCAGGGCTCATTAGAGGTTTTGGGTTTCATCTTTGGGGCTCACGATGGAACCACAGGTGGCATCGGGGTGGGGCGGCATGTGCGGTCAGGATCCCCGGTTGCCAGTAGGCCAGTGGGACCCGGAGGCACATCAGTGTTGGTTTGGACCTGGGTCCTGTGGGCCTCGGATGGACGCACAGCTGGGGAGCAGCGCTGGGGAAAGGGTGCGGGCACGTGGGTTGGGGGAGGGGCAGGGTTTGTAGGGCCGCCCACCCGCTTATGCCTCTGGGCTTCCTCCACAGGCGATTTACAAGCTGAAGAAAGCCTGCAGGGTGGAGGGGGAGGCCGGGCAGCAGGGCCAGCTGCTCACGCCCGAGGAGGTCGTGGACCGGATCTTCCTCCTGGTGGATACGAACGGAGACGGTAGGAGGGGCAGAGGTGGTGGCCCACCCGTAGCGCCCCCACTTCCTGGCCGTGTGACCTGGGCAGACCCCTCCACCTCTCAACTGGTGTCCTCATCTGCGAGCTGGGTGTGCAGAGGACGCCAGGAAACAGCAAAGGGTGTCTCTAGCCCATGACGTTTGTAAGAGCCAGTAAGACTCCTATGGAGTGGCTGGTGGAGGCCGGGCCAGCGAGAGGGTGGGAGCTTTGGAGACGGGCAGACGGATGGTAGGATGGCACGTGATCTCTCAGCCTGGTCTGGAAGCAGGTGATAATGGCCGGGAGGACTAAGTGTGTAATAAAGCCCAAGGCTGTGCAGGGAGGCAGCTGTTGGGAACACGCCCAGAAGAGCCCTCCAGACCATGCCCAGGGCTCCACGGGCAAAGGAACACTTCAGTCCATTCGCGAAGAAGTCCCTTTAGGAAGCCTGGAAGGTTCCAGGAGAACCTGGAGCATCCCAGGCGCTGGGCTTAGGCTCCTGTGTGAGAGCTGCAGGCCCCCTGGGGAGAAGACCTCTCCTCTGCCCCTCCTCTCCTCTCCCCTGCCCCCTGCCCCGTCTCTCCCCGTCTTCCGCAGGCCCATCTCTCCCGCCCCTCTCTCAGGCCAGCTGTCTCTGAATGAGTTCATCGAAGGTGCCCGCCGGGACCAGTGGGTGATGAAGATGCTGCAGATGGACGTGAACCCCGGCGGCTGGATCTCCCAGCAGAGGCGGAGAAGTGCCATGTTCTGAGTCCACAGGCCCCTCCCAGACTCCAGGCTCAGCAGGTGTCCGGAGCAGTTCAGGGGGAGGGGGGTGCTGGCTCAGCCCCCTCATGCCCAATGCCCACTCAGCTTACCCCCTTCAGCTGCTCCTGGGCTGGGCAATGATGAGGCTCCCACAAATTCCTACAGGGTTCTTAGCTGGAAGCAGGGCACATGGAGGGGTGGGGTCCCACAGGCCACACTAACAATGAGAATGCCTAGGAGGTAGGGCCTGAAAGTGTTGAGTCTGAAGAAAAGACGCATCTGCTGTGTGTGATGGGGGGGTAATTACGTCCCCCCAGATCCTGAGGCATGTTCACAGAGGGCGCTCACCTCCTCCCCAGTTGCCCGCACCTGGGTGCCCGCGGGGAAACTGGGCGAGGCAGGCTGGGCTCTCCCGCCCTCAGAGGGTCCGCCGCGCTGCTCCCTCAGCCCCCGCTGCACCCCACCCCTCTGCTCCCCTCCCTACCCCTGGTGCCCACGCTTGCCTCTCCACCGCCCTCCCCAGCATGGCCCTTCCATGATTCCCATGATTCCCAGCCACAAGCCCAGCACGTCTCCTTAGCGAAGGGAGACACCTTCCCTGCCTCTGGGGAGAACTGGGGGCCTGACGACCTGGGTTCTAGGTCAGGCTTTGCCTCCACCTGCTATGTGACCCCGATGGCCATTTCTCCTCTGGACCTCGGTTACCTGGTCTGCACCGTGAGCGGGACTGGACTAGACCCGCAGTTTTCAGATGATTATTCTTTAGATTTTGAATTACTTTTGTTATACAAATTCTGTGCACAACCCCGATGTAGAAACTAGATTAAAAGGGAGGCGCTCTGGCTGAAGGGGGCTGAGCGACTCAGACCCCTCCCACCGCTGGAGCCAGAGGCACCTCTGAGAACGCGAGGCTGGTCAGTGTTACCCAGCGTTACCCACCTAAAGGGGGACCTGGAGACATGCTTGCTTTACCGTGAAGAGGTATGTCTTTATGCTGATGCACGAAAAATAAAACCAACCTGCTGAACCTGTGGTTTCGTAGGTCTGATATTCATATAAAGGCTCCTATAGAAATAAATGTTAGGTGAAAAATGGCTGATTTAAAAAAAGTAATAATCCAGGTGGGACACAGATAGGCCCCAAGTCATGAAGGTGGTGTGTGGATGACGATGGGGAACGTCCTTATTCTGTCCAGATACCCTCCCAGCTCTGACCTCAGGGTTTCCCAGCAGGCAGCCACCAGAGAACAGAAGTGCCAGCTCCCAGTGTTTCCAGGCTGCCCTGCATTGACCATCCCTCCACGTCCGTGCTCAGGCCCTGGCTGGCTTCCAAGGGATGGACAGGATGGGTGTGAGCAAAATGCACCCTCTCACCGCCCCCCAGGGGGCTCTACAGCCAGGGGCTTCACTCCCCTCTCTCCCTTTTCTCCCTCCCGCTGCATTTTATAACTCCATGCACCCCCCCGCCCCCCCTTCTCTTTTTTTTTACAGCGAAGTGAAGACTCAAAGCCCAGAAGAGAGAGCATCTTGAAAATGAGCACAACTGCTTCAGCCTGTCTCTCCCAGGTCCTCAGACAGGTTTTCCTAAAGTTGGGGTGCCCACAGAATGGGCAGGAGGCCCACCTGGAACAGGTTGCCCCACTTCCCAACTGATGCCAGGTGTCCTGCAGCAGGAGAGACGGACGGGAGACCAGGGATGGCCCGGCTGCCTCAGTGAGTCACAGAGCTGTGGGGCCCAGGCCGCAGGCCGGAATGCCACCAAGTAGCCAGCAAGGAAGTAGGAGGCTTGCATGGTCACTTCTGAGTAAATATGGATTTCCTCTGGATAATCGAGGACTTTCTATACCACCTCACCCTCCTTCACTGCTTTGGCCAACATCCGACTCAAGCATCCCTTCCCACGGGTGTGAACGCGCGCATGTGTGGCTGTCATTTGGTCATGATTTGGATCTGCACTCGCATCCAAACACTCTATCCTCATCACTGTAACCTCTTGAAGGAGGTGTTTCCCCTCCCTCCCCCCACAACTGGGGCTCTTGGAGATGCTCCCTAAAAATGGATATGATGACCCCTTATTGTTTCAAATTTGGTAAAATGTAAATCCTAAGAGACACCCCCAATTTACACCTAAGAAAACTCCTCCCCATGTCACACGGCCCCCACATGGGACACAAACACATCACAGAGCATGCACCCTCCAACCTCCCCCACACATCACCTTCTCCACATGCAAACCCAACTCCTCTCTCACGTTCACAGTCAGGGGCCACCTCTGTGAGGCTGTCTCTGAGTCCAACTCACTCACAGTTTCCTGTGCCCCTGCAGGAGTCCATTCATAGCTTCCCTTAGCATATCTATACTAATAAAAGGCTAATATGCAAATGGTCGTCACATCGTGACGTATAACAACTGATCAGCAGGGACCTGAGGCTGCGTGACACCTGACCGGGGCGGGGGACCTCAGGCCGTGCCCCCTGCCTGACGGGGCTTGACGGGGGTGGGGCCGGCCGGGTCTGGGTCTCCTGTGATTTTGAAGCACGTGCGGGTGGGCAGGGGCTAGACTCTGGGTTCCGCGGGCGCCCCAGACTCTGACAGGAGGGAGATTTTCATATACATTTTACTAATTTTCTTTCATCTCTGACACTTCCATTATAGAGAAAGAGCAAATAGCAATATTAAAATATTTCCTCTAATTAATTCCCTTTTAATGTGAATGAATTTCATGCAGCAGGCCACTGGTTTTATTATAACGAACTTAGCCTGTGAGTTCCTTGAAGATGAGAAGGCTCCTCTTCCCTGCACATCTAACATCTAGCCTTAGCACATAGTAGGTGCTCAATAAATGCTTGTGGAGTGGGAGGGGCAAATCCATGCCAAGCACACGGGACGGCTCGGTGGTCCTGGGGCTCCTTGCAGCACCAGGATGGAGGCTGCGGCCACAGTTCCCTGGAGGGCTCCATCAGATCAGCCTCCGGGCCTCCATGTCTAGTGAGGGGGAAGCTGGGGCGGGGGGGGGGGAGGTCGGGGTGCCAGACGGGGAGAGGGCTGCCGGGTGCCCCAGCAGGAAGCAGTCACCACCAGCTGAGTCACACAGAGGTTCAGCAACTGTGCTTCACCGTCCCCACCTCCGGCCCCCACCCTGGCCCTGAGCTACCACCGTGCAGCCCAGCGCGGGGAGCTGAGCCCTGAGTTCGGTAGACTATCTAGTACAGGGGTCCTCAAACTTTTTAAACAGGGGGGCAGTTCACTGTCCCTCAGACCGTTGGAGGGCCAGACTATAGTTTAAAAAAAACCTATGAACAAATTCCTATGCACACTGCACATATCTTATTTTGAAGTAAAAAAACAAAACGGGAACAAATACAATATTTGTATTTGCATGTGGCCCGCGGGCCGTAGTTTGAAGACCCCTGAGTATAAAAACAACAATGGCGACACCAGCACCGCCACCAGCACCGCCACACACCCCGCCACACGCAGAAGCATCTGGGGGCCGTTCAGCCGGCTGCCTCGGCCGCCCCGCCCCCGGCCCCCTCCTGGTCCTGCTCCCCGTTCTGGAGCCTGCGCACAATGCTGGTGAGGTCCAGGCTCCGCGTCAGCGTGTCCAGGAGCATCCGGTCCTTCTGGACGCCCTCCATGAACTCCTCCAGGGACAGCTCCCCTGGCGGCCAGAAAGGGAGTCACGGGGAGGAGGGCTTGTCTCCTTGGCAGCATTGCACGGGGGCCCAGAGCTGGAGTCTCTCGAGGGCACAAGGCCACTGCTGGGGACGCAGCGGTGAGGGGGGAAGGCAAAGGAGCCAGAGAGCAAGGTCTGGTCCAGGAATCCCTCACACCCGGGTCTGTGGCTGGGACCCTCCACCCTGGGCCCCCCTCCCCGGGGGACCCCTGCCCCGGCCTCCTCACCATCCCCGTTGACATCGATCCTGGAGAACACGGTGTCGGTGAACTCCTCCGCACTCATGGTCGAGTCGCTGCAGGGGTTAATGGCTCGGATGGCCTGGGGGGAGGAAGAAGTGAGAGGGCCCCTCCTGACTCAGCCTCGCTGGTGTGGGGGCTGCAGTGGGGAGTGGAGGCAGAGCTGGGACTCAGGAGGAAACTGAGGCCCAGAGAGGGGAAGGAACGTGAGGGTCAGAGCTGCCACCGGGACCCTCCCTTCCATCCTGTCCCCTGCAGGGATGACAGCTCTGCCCACTGAAGACCCAAACCCGTCTAAGCCCCAGGCCGGCCCTCTGCACCTGGAGTTACCCGGATGATGGTGAGCAGCTCGTCGCGGTCGATGCATCCGTTGCCATCCACGTCGTAGAGCTTGAAGTACCAGCGCAGCTTCTGCTCCACCTTCCCCTTGAGGACCAGGCTGAGCGCCGCCACGTACTCCATGAAGTCGATGTAGCCGTCCTGGGCGGGGAGGCCGCCTTGAGCCCTCTCCCACCCCTCCCTCGACCCTCCCCCTTGGTGCCCACCCCCTCTGTCCTGGCCGCCCAGAGCCCGCCGGCCGCCCCAGAGGCTTCGGTCCACTCTGACAAGCTACCCCCGGCTGGGCTGCGAGTGGCACTTGGTTGTAGCTGTCACTGCTGCTTCCCTGTGCTTCTCAGACTCGAGCCCTTCCGGCGGCTTGTGGGTGGGGAAGAGACATGAATTCCCAGGGGTGGGTGGGGGCTGGGTGAGCTTCTCCCAGCTCGGTGAGGGCAGGAGGTAGATGTGGAGGCGAAGGTTCAAACCGCGCTTTTTCCTTCTGTGAGAATCCTGATGGTACCTGCCTCTGTGGGATCGTCGTGGGGTTACAGGAGTACATGTATGGACACTCACCGCCTGGCACGGAGTGAGCGCTCAGGGAATGCTAGCTGTCATTATCACCACTACTAGAAAGAGACCGCCGTGCTGTCAGGAGGTGTGTCCGGCAGCAACACATCCGACAGGGCGTTGTGGGTCACAGGACAGCAGCACCCACTCTGCTGGGCCCAGGGCAGGGGGTTGGGGGGGGGCTTGGGTGGCTTCCTGAGGGAGCCGCGGCTCTCATCGGCTCTTGGAGAGGTTGGCCATGGGGGGAGGGGATGGCACAGACATTCCTGCAGGACATTTCTTTAGGGTCCCCCGCGTGTTCACCTGCTGACCGTCTGCCGGCCCTGCCAGTCCTACCAAGTTCTCTGTCCCCCTCCCCCCAAACCGAGTGAGGCTGGCGAGGGAAGCCTATCTCACAGGCAGGCTGCGCCCGGTAAGGGCGGGAGCGCTGGGTCAGAGCACATGGACTCGGGGTCCAGCCCCCACTCCTCCGCTCACAGCCAGGACTCGGGGTCCAGGCAGTCGCTGAGAAGCATGAGGAACTCTTTCACAGGCAGAGCTGCCTCGTTGGGTAGTGAGCTCCCTGCCACTGGAGTGCGCAAGCAGAAGCTAGAGCAGTTACTAGGGATGTGGCAGGAGCTGGGCCGGACAGCCTCTGAGACCCGGCTCTGTGCTGGCCTTTGGCCGTAGGCGAGGCCTTAGCCACGGTGAGCCTCAGCGAGGACTGTGATCACAGTGAACATCCGTGTGCTGCCCGGTGTCCCAGGGCTTTTGCACATGCCTTAGCCCCTGGGGTGCTCGCCCACCCACCTCCCAGGACCGCTGTGGAGCGAGGCCAGAGGCTCGGAAACACTGAGGAGGCTTCCTCTGCGGGGACTTGAGGTGAGGGTGCCTTTGCTTTTCGTTTTTACCTCTCCGTGTTGTTGGACACTTTACAACGTGCTGTATGACTTGTGCAATTTGTTGTTGTTTAATGGCTACAAAGGATCGATGGAGGATCAATGGAAAGACATGGGCTTTGCTTTCAGAAAGCCCTAACCGCGTGGTAGGAGAGGGGTGACCTCCCATGAGCACAGCACGCGGCCGCCTGGAGGCGCAGTGTCCTCGCTCTGAGGCGGCAGTGGCGGTGTGCACGCTCCCAGACCGTGCGGGGGCTGCATCAGAATGACATCCAACAAGCTCGCTGCTTCTTA